GTGAGAGTGAGAGTGAGAGTGAGAGTGAGAGTGAGAGTGAGAGTGAGCGTGAGCGTGAGCGTGAGCGTGAGCGTGAGCGTGAGCGTGAGCGTGAGAGTGTGAGTGTGAGAGTGAGAGTGAGAGTGAGAGTGTGAGAGTGAGAGTGAGAGTGAGGGTGAGAGTGAGAGTGAGAGTGAGAGTGAGAGTGTGAGAGTGAGTGGGTGAGTGAGTGACTGACAGAGACCGCTCCGATCCCTCGTACCTGTCACGAAAAGCCGGCTTTGGATCCTCCTGCCATGAAAAGTGACACCATGTCCAAAAAAACGCGCACGGTGCTACAATGAGAGCGCAGTCGCGACAACCAGATTCTGCGAGCCTGCGCAGTCGAAATGCACTTCGAGGATGTTGAGAGGCATGAATGTACTGTAAATAGTGAATTAGCCGGACACGGATGCGCGACACCTCGATTAGACACCGTTGCCATAACATGCTGTAACTACTATCGTAAGAACCCCTAGTGCGTTGAAACTGCTTGGAATTTATGCCCCGCGTCCACCAACTTGCAGTCGCAAACTGTGGAAAAAGTTGAGCGCCGACGTTAATGCTATGAAGAGGTTTCGTTGGCTTGGGCTGCGCAAACTCCAATTATCTGTTTCCTTCGAGGACACCCGTGGTCAAAGGGACAAGGCCCCTATTTCTCTGCCTGCTCCAATAGTATATTCGACTTAAGTTGTTTAACGATCGAATCCAAAACGCAAAAAATGAGGGTGGTGCGCCCATCTTTATCAAGAAAGCTTTAACCGCCTGTCTGGGAGCTAAATAAAAAGTTGAATGCCTTCGTCAAATCCAAAGTGCCCCCCCACCACACGGATACTGTGTCTTTTGTCTTTTCCAACAGAACTGTTGCCAAATAGTTATATGTTTGACGACTATGTGATGAAGAATGCTTCCGGAGATTTGTGGCGGTGATCGAAATCTCCATTCCGCTAAAAGTTGATCTGCAATCATCATACTCAAAATATGGCGCCGAAGAAAACCTTAAAATCACCCATTTGTACCAAGTGATTCCATAGTCCTTGTAATCAGAAAACTCGTCTGCGGATGGCAATACCAAAATTCAATAGAAAGCCGAAACACGACGTTTGACTTTTCTGCCCGAATATGACGAGGCATGTTCTGCGGCACGGTGAATTTCAAGTTGTAATTGCCACGTGGAAGCCCGGACCTTCCACTGTGCAAACTTGGTTGTGAATTACACGTGAAAGCCAACAGTCTGCATCTGGTGAATTTGTGCTGAATTGGATTCTTTGTCGATTTGTCGTAAAGTTTGATAGACCTTCGAAAGTATTCAACCTGAGCCTCAGGATGATGGTAAACAGTCTGCGCTGCTTCGCGGAGCCTGAGAAAGTTTTGCTTGTTGGTGAAATTTACAGTCTCATTTGCAACAAAATAACACCAAGTCACCAAGTTCGTTGCAAGTCCGACCGAAAGGATGTCCTACCAATCTTTGGGATTTGACTCTCTGCATTGTAAAGCACGAAGGGTTCCACGGCTTTGGCAAATCAAATCTGCATGAGCCTTCAGCAACGTACATGCTTAGCCATCTGCAAGTTCTTTGACAATACGCGCAACAATGGTCCAGAATATGAAAGTGTCATGCGTTCAACTATCCTCGTGACTGCTTCGAGCTCAGCTCGATTATGGTCTGATACTTGTAGACGGATGTTTGTACCACCCCATAGTAGTGGTAAGATGCGTTGACGCTACTTGAGTTTCGCTGTTGAATCACCACCCGGACTGCCCAGCAACAGTTCAAATTTTGGAGACATCACATGAACCATCTGTGCAAAAACTCGACGCGGTCAAACAGATCTACAGGCGGAGAGTAAAAAAGGGCCCGGTCAAACGGCTTGCAAGCGATTGAAGATTAATTGTTCCAGATGCATAAAAGGAAGAGGTGGGAGCATTCGACGCAAAATAGCAAACGATGTTGATGTGGATCGATTTGAGCTCAGTGATGATCACACAAGGCATCTTGTGTAAATGCTAGATAGCTTGTGTCACATTTCCCTGATAACTTTCTGGCATTACAATAAGACGAAGGGGTATATCACCCACGGATTTGGGTGTAGTCATCGAAAGGCAAAGGTGTGGTACCTTTGCGGCGCGGAGCCTCTGATATCACATAGCACCACCGTTCATGATTGAATACTTGGCGAATGCTCTGTGTAGGATCAAACATAATCGACTGCCAGGGAAGATGATTGCACCATCATTGCATGTTGAGCATCAATCCTACTTAAAGGTGCTACAAGACCAAGGTCCAGCCGGGGTTTGTCTGCGTCAACGATTCAACCAGTCAACTAACCAAGCAAACAAAAGAGCAATCAAGTCAAGTGACCAGCAAAGAATCAAACAAAACCAAAAACTTACCTATATACCAAGCAATTAAAAAGCTGTCAGCGCTTACTTGGCGTGGGCCACCACCAAATTGCTGAGCGGGTTTCTGCACGAACCACCAGAACCAGGCAACGTAAAATGCCGGTTTCAGAACACACATCACACCCTTCTCCCATCCTCCCTCTAGGTCTCCGCGTTCAAACCCTCTTTGACAGGGAGAATAGCGAATTAATCTGTTTTCAATGACTTCCGCGGAGGGTGTCTACATTCACAAAGTGTCTTCCCTTGAAAACGACCCCGTCCAGAATCCATAGAACATTGAGACATCTCCCAAAAAGGGATCTCACGCGGGCATGTCGCAGAAAATCATGTCTTACGAACGGCAACCATCCGGTCGCCTCTGGCACGGTCTTGGTCGTCCAGCAGTCGGCGTGTGCTTTCACCCGCATGCCACCAGTGGCTTGGGACTGGCAGAAAGAGAGAACGAGGACGCCCAGAACTGGAAAATAGAACGGTGAAACAGACCAAATCCAAATCGAGTGCCAACGGATGCTCGTTTGCAACGCTCTCTCGGTGTCAAAGCGTGCAAAGTATGACGAGTATGTAAAACGAAGTACCTGTGATGTCGTTCGCACCTCCCTACCATCCTGCTCCCTAGCAAGCACACGGAGTGCCACAAGGCAGATCGCTGAGTGTTTGGGACAAGGCCACAGGGTCACGACCATGCAGTTTCACCTTAAATGTGGACTCTTGATGATATTTCAACCCTCCATATGAAGAGGCTCTACAATCCATGTCCGTCCGGGGCAGTTTTATCTACAGTACATTGTTATTGTTACATTATATAAGCCTAAAGGGTCCTTTTTCGCTCAATTCGCCAGAATCCACTACAGTATCCAATACGGCATTATCATATCACCATCTCCTGTCACCCCTTTCCTCTTTCTATATATATATATATGTGACGAATGTTTTCCACAGAAGAACTTTTTGGAATGCGGGAGAATAATGATATCTCCTTGAATTCCAACACCTATTGGGATGGTCACATGTCAGATTTGAGTCTGTGGGCAGACACTCCCTTGGAGCAATACCCATATCCGATAGTCGTAAATCCCATCACAAGCCATGGGATATGGCAGTGGGTATATGGGTAGAAGCAAAGTCCTAGCATTCTTTTGCTCCTTCGTCCATGGTCAGCATCCGAAACAAATCAAACAGCCGCAAACATGGCCGGGCGGACGACACAGCGCCTCCCTTCTTTGTCCACAAAGTTGCCATCACCCTTAAAACCTTCCGTGGCCATCGCCCCGGCGTTCCGCGCTGGTCGAACGGAAGAGGATTGACAAGGCTGGTCACCGACAACCGACAACTGTCCCACCCAGACGGCGGGATCATCTCATCAGTTTGGGCGCATTCTCCGGTCCTTGCGCCAGCTCTTCCCAATCATTCGCAGTTCACGTCCGAAATCGACCCCCCTTTCTTGCCCCCTCCCCCCTTTGTCCAGGACATTTGGGGGAATTCGTTTCACCCGGCGACCGGACCATCACCGAATACCTGCCGGTGCGTTCGTGTCACCCGCCGACCCGGTGGGTTCTTTGGTCCAACCACCGGACGAGGACATCAGCCCGAACCGGAGTGAACTGGAGGACCGGACTCACTCCGCTCGGGTGGAATGACCAACCACCAACCCAAAAGCAAAGGCATGATCGTCATGCTTTACTGCTTCTGCGCAGCTTCGAATGAAAAAATCCAAGCTTGACCCAGAGTAAGTCACAAGCTCCAGGAAGGAGAAAACTACCAAAAATAGCCATGTCCATGTCTGTCCTTCAAGTTGCTTTGTACTTATGCTTAACCTCCCTTGGCCAACTCGTAAGTTGCTCAAGCCTCCCCAACACTTCTTGACCTCAGCTAGCTGTGCGAAAGTGAGCTGGCGAAAGACCAAAGAAAACTCAGTTGAATATTATGCCAAGTAGCCAACTTGAGAAAAGGGCGGTAGACGAAAGGTTGAAAGTTGGTAAGCGACGAAGGGTGGGTACGGGCAGCAGCAAAGGCGGCAGCAGCAGCAGCAGCAAGAGCAGAGCAGAGCAGAGCAAAGCAGCAGCAACAACAACAACAACAGCAGCTCAGAAGCTCAACAGGAATCCAATCACACCGAGGCTGCAGCACCACTAGCAAGGAAGCAGAATAACGAGGGGGGAGGAGAAGCTCGATACGAATCCATTGACACCAAGCCACAATACTACGATTGAAAAGAAATTCACCCATCCCAGGAGGAGTTGAACCCGGCGTTCCCCCCTAAGCCCTGAAGAGTCGCCTTTCGTGACCCCCAAAATCACGTCACTTGGGAAGGCCCCCTAGGCCCTAAGCTAAAGCTCATCGAACTCAAGGTTGCTGTGGCAACCTACCTTGAGTTCGAGTAGCTACAAGCGAACAGGATTCCAACCCCACGCACCCCGCGGACCCTGCGCACGGACCCCTCAGATCCCACAACTCCCAGCTGAGGGCTCTGACATACATGCCCTTAGGACACCAAGCCTCAGAGGATGTTGTGTTGGGCATATGTCCTCTGCAAACCACGGCTGATGGATCGCAAATGATTGGTCATCTTGAGAAGACTTGCAAAATGCCCTCTCTTGCTTTGACTGGTGATGTTTAATGAGACAGAAGGGAACTAAGTACAAGTACAATGCAGCATTCACAAAATAGTGCGACAAAAACAACGCGTGATAATAGCGTGAGCATCAGTGCCCCTTTCCAATTGGCCTGCAATATATGGTGTGTACTACATAGACACACACACACATGTATATATGTATATAATATCATCACATGTATATATACTGTATATGCTCTGTCAGGCTTTCCTGCTACAATGGTCAGCAAAGGGGCTCTGACCGCATAAGAAGAATCCTGGTCCATCCCTGCACCCAATCAAAACGTCATCTGTGCACCAGACATCACCCCTCTGCCCCCCTTTCCGGGTGCCAGGCGTGGGCTTGCTTGTCGTCTCCCCGCTTAGACCAGCCGGAATTCACGCGGTGGCTGTTCTGCAGGGTGGGGGCGAGTGGCGTTGGCGGGAACGGTGCGGCTTTTTGGAGATTCGAGTGGGAAAGGTGGCAGAATCCCAGCTCAACAGCCGAACTCAGCATCGGGCCCGGTAGTCATCTAGTCAGCTGCATCGACGCTGGCCAAGGCAGTTCACTTGAAATGAGCATGCCCAATCAAAAAGGACGCATGCAATTGGGGATGTGGACGACACATCAAGAAGCGACCATGCCAACAAAAACATGATGGGTGCAAAGACTCTTGCACTGCACTACTCAAAGGGTACCGGGTACAGCCCGACCCAAAGTGTACAACAGTACAACCCCACCCAATGACATTTAGTTTCCCACCGGCAACAAAAAACTGTCAACGGGAAGGTCTTTTGTGCTCCGGAATGGGAGAGATCACATTTTAAAAAAAGGCTTCATGATCGAATATACGAGCATGAAGAGTCGAGTGAATGCGCTTCTCCTAAAACACCCCAGGGCAAGGCGCGCCTTGCAGTCCCGGCCGACCAGCACATAGCCAGCATGGCAGCTGTTGCAGTGGTTTTTGGACTCAGTCGAATCAAAGAGCTTGAAGAACGGTAAGTGGATGCTGACATGGGGATGCTGACACTCAAACCAGAACTAACGTCAGTACATGCCCTTCTCATTGATGATCTGCGCGGAAAATAATCCCAGACTTCGGAAGACCGCAGTCTCCCTGATCCCTATTGGAGTGACAAAAATGAGTTCACCCTAGAGACATGTAGAGAAACGAAATGACCCAGTCCTTCTAATTTGAAACAGAGAACAACCGACTCATCTATGCCAAAACCCATGCACCGACTCATCTTTTGTATGCCACCTTCCACTTCCGACCGTCCACACCTCCGACCACCCTTCCGCCAAGTCACCTTCCGTTGGTTGAAGGCTGGGCAGCTCTTGCAGTTGCCACCACACCTCCGATCCTCAGAGCCGTGCCCGGGCCCTGTCGTGGCACGGCAGCTCCGGTGGGTCAACCGCGAAGGTAGCACCGCGTTGCGGCATCTTGCCAGGTGTCTGTTGGCCATTGGAAATAGGTGATGTTCGGATACGTTTGGTTCCAACAAAGTGATCCTTTCATCTACTCGCATCTGCTCACAATCATCCAAAGGCAGGCTTAGGTAGACTCATCCATCCAAGGGCCCAGCCACAAAAAGCTGGGCGATAGCAATGCAGCCAAGTTGCATGACATTTGCTCCGATGCAACTTGAAGTCTCTATGGCATGCAGTACATGCCTCAGCTACAAAACACAAAGAAGCCCCTCCTTTCAATCTGATCCAAAGCAGAACAGGATCTATAACCGAAACTTTGAAACCCATCCAAACTGGCTTAGGCTTTCCGGGTGCCATACGTGCTTAGGTTTACGACACCCAGAATATTCCAAAACCGCTCCACCCGACAATCTTTTCCTCTCACAGTG